AAACATTCTAAATTGACGTGAAAATCCCCCTGGTGGCTACTTTGTCAAGCGTTTAACTTTTTCATCTGGGTGTGTGAATTGTGGCGGAACGACGCTGGGTCATCCAGTCATCCTTATCTGGATGACTGGATGACCCTCAGTACACGGTCTCTCTCAAATTACAGTCAACTGGTGACAAGGTGCTTTTTTTTTTTTTGTCCCTGGACTTGATTGGGCGTATGACAGACAAGGGGCGGGATGGTAAATGGAAGAAAGAAGAAAATTGAAAATTGTAAAAAAAATGTCTAATTTTAGACATTTTTTACAATTTTCAATTTTCTAATGTCTAATTTTTTGAAGTTTCGAGATATTTCTGAAACCGTGGTTTTTGTTTAATTGTTTTGCAGAAGCACAATTTTTTTTTTTTTTTTTTTTTTTTTTTTTTTGCAAAATAATTACTTGAAATAAGGCGTTGTGTTGCCGTAGAGTTATGTCGTGTTGATGAGCCCCTGAAATCTCTCATCAACGTGAACGTAACTTTTAAATGTAACCTGTAACTGATGTTCGTCTTGCAGACGAGGAGACACAATAACGTGGCTGAAATATGTTGACCAAACCACACACTAGAAAGTGAAGGGACGACGACGTTTCGGGCAGTACGAAACGTCCACCAGACTGCGATATGGTAATTGACGGGATCTGGTTAGGCTACCATTACCAGTGGCAGGTGGCTATCGTTACCTGTGACAGGTGGCTATCGTTACCTGTGACAGGTGGCTACCGTTACCTGTGACAGGTGGCTAGAGGTGACGGATCTCCCAATCCTGAGCACTCCAGGTGCAAACTCTGTGAGCAGGAACTGGGGCATGATCTCCCACACACACTCCATTATTGAATATCCTGTCATTAGACCCTTCAGACCTGGCGGCATGAGGTCCCTGGAGCCTTGTAGTTACTTTATTAACTCTCGTGTTCTTGAGAACATCCTCATAATGCATCCAAAGTTACCACTACAGGCCACTGATCCTGTGAGATGAGGATGCTTAAAGGATCACAGAGCTATAGCTCTCGCTACAAACTCTTTCCCGCCGTCCCATCCCAAGTCCTTATCCTGACCCCTTCCAAGTGCTATATAGCCGTAATGGCTTGGCGCTCACTCCTGATAGTTCCATTTAGCTCTCGCTACAAACTATGTAAACCTCTCATGTAGCCCAGCGTAGCTGTGTAAATGTAGATGTACCTAAATACATGAATCCCCTCAAAAAAATAACTTTATAAAAATGTATTAAAATATTATGTATCGCGCAGCATACTCGAGGAGCTGGAGGTAACTGCTGTATTTCCTATGTAAGTGTTTGTATCTTGCTAGCTGTAACGCCCAATTATATTTTTTTTAGAATTTTATATGAGAATTTGTGAGGAAATTTTTTGGAAGGGATGTTAAGATAAGGATGTGGGATACGACGAAGGGAAGGAATGGTGCCCAGCTACTTCGACGGTTGGGTATTAGACGCCGACCTGCTCGAAGCTCCACTGTCGCTCTATCGTCCTGGCCATGGGGTTAGATTTTATTTACATGTACGGCCTCTGTGTGTGTGTTTCGTGTAAGTATATTTGAGAAATTAGGATGGCTTCTTGAGTTTCGAGCAGCATTAAGGCTTTAATTTGTAGGGAAGAAGTTGGACATTGGATTACACACACACACACACACACACACACACACACACACACACACACACACACACACACACACACACACACAGGAAAGCTCAACCCCCGCAAGCACAATTAGGTGAGTACACACACACACACACACACACTCACACACACACACACACACACACACACACACACACACACACACACACACACACACACACACACACAGAATCAGATTCACAAAGTATTTTGCGTTTGAAAGGAACGGCGGCAAAGACATATTTCTTATCATCTGGGATAGATAATAACTAGACAATCAGTTGGAGAAATAAGATAAGCAAGTTATCGTCAGAAAGCGATAAACCTTTCTGACTACTCTGTAGATGACAAGTTTGAGGTAGGAGAAAACAGAGGCTAAGACGTCTAGAACTCTAACCTTATAACCAATTACCCAGAAATACAATTTCCTCAAAGATTACAAGAAGGACTCCGGAAGTTTCGAGCAGACCCATTCACTTAGTTGTACTTAAGTCTTTACAAGTATTGATTCAAAATATTCAAAGAAAATAAAGAACGCCATCGTACACACGCAAGATATCAGAAAACAACAAATCCCGAGAGAACTACATCGTTTATGTTATATGTTTGATATGTGATGTTCGCCGGAGAAGACCCGCTTGACGACGTCACTGTCGTCTAGGGATTTGTTGACAACGCGAGTAATGAGTTACCCTTAGTTGTTAATATATCCAAACACTATCTGCATATATGCAGAGTTTTGAGGGGTTTCTGATGTGAGTTGAAGGTATACCTCAACATAGTCTTAGTGTCGTATGATTGGTAGAGTGATGAGGCCGGAATGTACACTAGAAGACCCTTTCAGGCCCGACTTATGCCTAAGCTGGAAAGGTACGTATCCTACGGGGACATAGAGAGTGGCGTCTACCTTGTACAGTTCGTAATGGCCTAGAGGCAGTTCATTCAGCACTGCATCTTGCGTCGTCATATCTGGAGGCAGGCCCATGTTGATCCCGCCATTTTTAATGAGTTGTTTCTCGACGCTCTTCGTCAGGATAACTGGCTGCGGACCGTCAGTGTTGATTATGGTGAAGATGCAGCCATCTTATGTAAGAAGTTCTGAGGCTTCTGGTGGCATGGACGTGCCGGCGTTCAGAACCACTATCTTGCCTACCTTGCTTCTCGTCCCTGTCACCAGCGCCATGGCCATTTTGATGGCAACTGCCGCCGCAGACTTTGCCTCTTTCTCAGCAACTGCTTAGGCATCTTTCTAGGCCTAATTATACTCTATCTTGGCCAAACTTTCGTCATCTGCTCTCAATTAGTAGTGCCGGTTAACACGGATGGAATAACAAACACGTGACCAACAACCTCCTTCGTACAGAACGACGTAGAGTTTAGCTGACTCCTTGGTTGCTTCCAGACGTCTCCTGAGGAGGTGACACAGGTCCTCAATGTTATACTTCTTCCTGTTAATAACCACGCAGTACGTCACAGGCAACTACACCCCGTTGAGTGCCTCGTAGACGTCCGGCGTCATAACACGCTTGCCTTTACTAATGCCGTGGCCCCGCGCTCTAAAGTCGTACTGGTTTAATATTTTCTCTCGTTAATGACCCTGTCGTGCCTCGGGGAGCTATCGGGACGTATTTTGACATATGTTGCACTGCCTGCCTTGATCTGTGCTCAGCCAGTGCGCGTTGCGGAAGGCGCCGCAGTAGCTACACATCTGCAACGAGGCCGTCTTGAGTCGCCGTTCGAGGGGCGGGAAGGTTAAGGTGATGATCATAATTTCCTTTTTAGGGGTTTGGGAGTCTTGAGTCGCGGCCTGAGACTCTGTCGAAGCCTGATTCCCCATCGCGGGCTGAGACTCTCTCCCGACCTAACCTGACCTGACGCTACTCTGGCCTTTTGATAATTACTAAATAAAGGTGTTGGTATTTATTAGAGGGAACTTGGAGTGGAGGGAAGGAGCTCTTCACTGCATTCACTTGATAACCGTGTTCATTTTCACTACGCTCGATAGATAACAGTGTTCACCTTCACTACGCTCGATAGATAACAGTGTTCACCTTCACTAAACTCGATTGATAACAGTGTTCACCTCGCTACGCTCGATTGATAACAGTGTTTCACCTTCACTACACTCGATTGATAACAGTGTTTCACCTTCACTACACTCGATTGACAACAGTGTTCACCTTCATTACACCAGCTTGACAACAGTGGTCACCTTCATTACACCAGCTTGACAACAGTGGTCACCTTCATTACACCAGCTTGACAACAGTGGTCACCTTCATTACACCAGCTTGACAACAGTGGTCACCTTCACTACACCAGCTTGACAACAGTGGTCACCTTCACTACACCAGCTTGACAACAGTGGTCACCTTCACTACACCAGCTTGACAACAGTGGTCACCTTCACTACACCAGCTTGACAACAGTGTTCACCTTCACTACACCAGCTTGACAACAGTGGTCACCTTCATTACACCAGCTTGACAACACTGGTCACCTCTATTACACCCACTTGACACATGGTTGGGGGGCGAGATACATCATCAGCATCTCCCGGACCAGAACCGTAAGTAAACAGCATACACAGCTAAACCAACCAGACATGAAACCAATATATAACAATACCGAGGACACACTTGCCGTTCGGTGACACCTTGGGCCGAGGAGCAAGGAAGTTTATCCATGAACTACACGTCGCTCTCATCCAGGGATTTGTTGACAACGCGAGTAATGAGTTATCCTTAGTTGTTGATGTAATCCAACACTATTTGTACCTGTTCAGGGCCTTCGCGAGGGGTGTCGTCCGTGGTTTCGAGGTATACCTCGACCTTGTCCCTGTGGCGTATGATTGGCAGGGTAATGAGGCCGGAGTGAAAGCTGGAAAATCCTGTCACGCGCGATTTATGCCTCAGCTTGGAAGGGACGTATCCTACGGGGACATAAAGAGTGACGTCTACCTTATAGAGTTCGTAGTGTCTGAGAGACAGTTCGTGGAGCACCGCATCCTAAATCGTCATTTTTCGACGCAGACCCACATTGATCCCGCCATTTTGAATGAGTTGTTTCTCGACGCTCTTCGTCAGGATAACTGGCTGCGGACCGTCAGTGTTGATTATGGTGAAGATGCAGCCATCTTATGTAAGAAGTTCTGAGGCTTCTGGTGGCATGGACGTGCCGGCGTTCAGAACCACTATCTTGCCTATCTTGCTTCTCGTCCCTGTCACCAGCGCCATGGCCATTCTGATGGCAACTGCCGCCGCAGACTTTGCCTCTTTCTCAGCAACTGCTTAGGCTTCTTTCTAGGCCTAATTATAATTTCCCTAGACGCGAACATCGTCGTCTAAAGGAAGGGAGAAGTGCTGGTTGGCGCGAATGGAGTAACACGCGCACGCATCGTACACCACCACGAACATCTCCGGCTGGGCCTCTATTCCCGATTTCCTGCGATGGTGGAGAATACATTCATACAAGAAGTCCACATTGTAATCCTTCTTGTTGATAACCACGCTGAATGTGACTGGCAAACACGGCCCTCTCAGTGCCTCGTATGCGTCTGGGATCTCAACGGGATTCTCCTTGCCATGCGGGAGATATCTGGATGCATGTTGGCATATGTTACATCGCCTGCCTTGATACGTGTTCAGCCAGTACCTGTTGGAGAAGGCGCCGCATTAATCACAGGTCTCCAACGTGGAAGTCACGAGTCGCGGCTCGAGTGCAGGAAGGTCGAGATTGATTTTCACATATAATCGAGTTTTAGAGAGTTTATCGGTCTCTGTTGTGATCTGACTCTCAGTCAAGGCCTGACTCTCAGTCGCGATCTGACTCTCAGTCGCGGAATGACTCGAAGTCGCGGACTGAATCTCCAATGTGGTTTGATTTTCTGTTGCGACCTCATCCTGCGTGGCGGGAAGGGATTCGTACTCTGGCGCGGAGTCATTTGAACAGGACTCATTCCCTCCTGGGATTAGTGTGTCCTCTGGGAGGCTGAGGTCACTGTTGAAGGAAGATGACGATTCCTCCCAACCCCAACAACAACACAAATATTTCTTAATGCACTTCTTGATTCTCATTGTTTTGAAAAAAACTGTGGTAAGTATGAATGTTTACACAATATTGATACTTCTGTATGCGTCTTGCAGGTATTATCGTTAAGTTGGAAGGAAAGAATATTTCTGAAGTTCTGTACCCACGCTCAGTGACTGTGGACACTTTCAATAAGAACAGGTTTCATTCATTGTAGGAACAGGTTTCATTCACTGTAACAAGAGGTTTCATTCACTGAAACAACAGGTTTCATTCACTGTAGAATGTAGAACATTCACTCTAACCTGTTGATGAACAGGTTCATCAACAGGTTAGAGGGGAATTTAGGATGACAGTCTACAAACTAGAAACCTGTCATATGAAGAAAGATTGACAAAGCTTAATTTGCATTCTCTAGAAAAGCGAAGAATTAGGGGGAGGTGTCATGATAGAGGTGTACGAGTGAATGATTAGGCATTACAAATTGGATATAAATTGGGCATTAAAAGTATCTACACAGAACAATGGGTATCAATTGGATAAGTTTAGATTTAGGAAATACCTGGATAAATAATGGTTCGGTAACAGCGTTTTTGATTTGTGGAACCAAATACCGCGTAACATAATAGAAATAGGATCCTTTGATTGTTTCAAGCGTGGGTTAGACATATATATGAATGAGATTGGATGGGATATAAATAGGAGCTGCCTCGTATGGGCCAAAAGGGCCTTCTGTAGTTACATTCATTCTTATGTTCTTAACAGCGTTCCTTGAAGAATTGTACACTCCTCATGTGCTCTCTACAGCTTTGGGTGGTTGAGTGAAGACCTCCCCCCCCCCCCACACACACACTCAATCTTAAATGAGTGCACCTGATGATACCTCACGATTCTTGATAAAGTGCTGCGTTCACCTCATACACGCACGATTCTTAGTGAAGAACTTAAGAATACCTGCAGACAATCGACTTGAGAATGGTCCAGGACGGACCGAAACGTCGTCGTCCCTGCACTTCCTAGTGTGTGGTCTGGTCAACATACTTTAGCCACGTTATTGTGACTTATCGCTTGCAATACTTACAGAAGGCCCATACATGGTATCTCTTATCTATTTCCACACAAACTCGTTCCTATATATATATATATATATATATATATATATATATATATATATATATATATATATATATATATATATATATATGTCTAACATACGCTTGAAACAACCCATTAATCCCACGTCTATTATGTTACCCAGTAATTTGCTCAATAAATCAACAACCCTCACCTAGTTGTGTTTGCGGGGGTCGAGCTCTGGCTCTTTGGTCCCGCCTCTCAACTGTCAATCAACTGGTGCACAGATTCCTGAGCCTATTAGGCTCTATCATATCTACATTTGAAAAGCTGAAACCCTATTTGAAAAAAAAAAATTATTTCCAAACCAGTGTTTACCCAGGTCTTTCCTGAAATCTAAACTTACCCAATTTATATGCATTGTTTTTTGCTGATTTATAACTTTATACATATCCCCAATTTTATTCCCCTTCATGTATTGATGTATTTCAGTGTGGTGAGATTAGCTTTACCTTGACGCTTTCTCTTCTCATAATTTCATTTATTTTCCTGAGTTGGAATCGAACTGGGGAGCTCTCAGGTGTGGTCGGAGGGACGTGACAAACACACCATCATCCAAGTACTTGTCAGTTGTACCACAACCGTATTTATCCAAACTATACACCTGACTTGAATGCAGATGTGCGTCACATGTACCTCACAGATGTGTTCCACGTGGATATACTACACGTGTTTTACCCGTGGTTTGCCCGTGACTGGTTTCGAGAGTTCTCCTATTACCACAGCCCGCCTGGGAGGGAGAGAATTATCAGGGGAGAGCGCCAAGCCAGTACGACTATACAGCACTTGGAAGGGGGTCAGGATAAGGATTTGGGATTGGTGATAACTTGATCTTATGGGGCTGTTGCTGTCAGCGTTCCGCAGTATAATATGTTCATAGCAGTTTGGCTGATCAGGTACTTATTCCTGCACGAACCTATCCAATTCCTTCTAAGAAATGTCTGACTTATTTCTCGGCAATATTTCTTATAGTTGGTGAAAGGAGGAAGGAAAATTTTGAGTCCTTTGGAGGACTCAAGCCTTTTCCTTTGAAGCCTTTTCTTAGGCTTCCGTCCATATCTGTCACAGTCCATTATTATTTTATTGTGGAGACTGGGGACCTGACCTTCAAATGTCCTCCATATATATATATTATGTGATATATCTCTCTTTTTCCATAGATAAAAACCCGTTCTCTTTTACGGGATCACCATAGCCCGTGCTACTTGGAACTTTTTGTTCTGAGTAGCTGAATATAAAACAACAATTCTTTCTCGTTTTCTGGTGCTTCGAAGTCTTCTCGGCTCGGTGCCTTCTTTGGATAAGAAGGCACGGGTGCCTTGAGATGAGGTGCTTTGCTGGCTCGTCCCAGAGAACAGCTTAGTGCTTTGAGGAGTTTCCCGGGAATTGGTTGTGTTTCGGTGTGAATATCCGAGTTGTTTTGTTACTTCTGTTTCATCTGTCTCTCTCACGCCTGTGAAGTCCAACCACTTGGGCTGGACGGTAGAGCGACAGTCTAGCTTTATGCAGGTCGACGTTTAATCCCCGACCGTCCAAGTGGTTGGGCACCATTCATTAACCCCATCCCATCCCAAATCCTTATCCTGATCCCTTCCCAGTGCTACATAGTCGTCATGGCTTGGCACTTTATCCCCTAATAGTTCCCTTCCCTTCCCTTCACGCCTGTGGAAGCTTGCACTGGATGATCTGAGGCGGGATAGCACAAGGGATTTGAAAAGAGTATTGTGGAGGTCTTCGTCTGCTGTGAAGGTTCTCAAGATCCACAACAGTGATCCTCCTCATGCTAACTTTGCTTTATAAAGCTCACTCAACTTTATTTCTAGGCCTCCCTGCCTAGATATCTACTCTCCCGAGGCCTCGCTGCTTTGTGTGGCGGTGTACAATAGGAAGATGGATTTACAGATTCGTAAATTGAAACATGTATAGTCTAATGTAGTTGATTGTAACCATACTATATATGTGCTTCTGCCTACCATTTACCTTGCTGTTACCTTGCAACGGTAACAGTTACCTGTTACCTGTTACCTTACCTGCTACCAAACAAGGTTACCTTGTTTAGACTTATAGTCTTGTGTATGATGCTTCGTCCTGTGTCACAGTGAATGCAAGTTTTATCCTCACTCTAATAAGACCTAATTAAATTACTCAGATTAGGCAAACTCTAATTAATTTTGTCGATTAAGATAATAATATACCATTTACATATTCCTTCCATTCTGTGAGATCTTATCAAACTGTATCCAGTTTGAATTGTTAATTTTGTCGTTGTCTAAGAAAATTTTATTTTTCTGTGTTGAAAAAGATGCTGATGCCGAGTAACAGATCTCCTTCATCTTTGTATTTGATCAGTGATTTCTTCCGATTTCTTTAGGCTGGCTTTAGTGTCTATGTACAGTGATGGCAAGAAAATGTGGTTTGTGTTTTCGTGTATATCTTGAAGATGAGAAAGACCAGTGTCTGAGGGACAGTCAGTACCTTGGGGTACAAGGATCTTAACTGTGTACATAATGGATTTGTTTTCATTTACTGTTACTCTTTGGGATTTATGAGAAAATGTAATATGTTGACCAGACCACACACTAGAGGGTGAAGGGACGACGACGTTTCGGTCTGTCCTGGACCATTCTCAAGTCGATATGCCACAATCGACTTGAGAATGGTCCAGGACGGACCGAAACGTCGTCGTCGTCCCTTCACCTTCTAGTGTGTGGTCTGGTCAACATACTTCAGCCACGTTATTGTGACTCATCATCTGCAAAATGTAATATGCTTTCCACCATTTTATCTGTCATTCTATCGCACTTAATTTTTTGTGGACTTATATACTTTTTTGTTTTGAATATTCGTAGAGATATTGAGAAGTGTTGTGGTCGTAGTGGTACAGTATTGTGGTACTGTACTGTCAATACAGTGGTTCTGTATTGACTAATGACACTGCGAAGGGGAGATACAGTTACAGTGGCATTTGTGGTATTTCATGGGTTGGGGGGGGGTGTTGTTGTAGTTGTTGTGGTATTGTGGGAGTGTGGAGGAGGGATGGGGAGTGGATGGGGTGGGGGGGGGTGGAGCAGAGGGGAGTGGGGGTGGATGAAGATTAACAGCTTGACATAATGTGTAGACGTCCCACAGTAAATATACAGTTCGCTTGTCAGTCACGTTGTTATTCATCAGGTATTGATTATTTCCGGGGTATTCACCACTTGTATTCTGATGAAAGGTCTTTCAATGATATATATATATATATATATATATATATATATATATATATATATATATATATATATATATATATATATATATATATATATATATATATGACAATGTCAGACCACGGAGGAAAAATGAAACAGGAAATTTCCTGTTTCATTTTTCCTCCGTGGTCTGACATTGTCACATTCTTAATCACGTGTTTATTTTCGTGATATACACACACACACACATATATATATATATATATATATATATATATATATATATATATATATATATATATATATATATATATATATATATATATATATATATATATATATATTGGTGTATACTGGCAGCAGGTTTTCATTTATGCATGTTTCATTGAATATGACTGCATATTCTGTATGTATTATTATTTTTTTGTTTAGGGCTTCTATCCCTCTGACTAGTGTTCTAGCATCTTGGTTTAATTGGAAGAGGAGTTCTCCAAAGGTCATCTTCGTTCGAGGTGAAGAAAACGAAATAAATGACTGTAGAATGTATTACACTTATTATAATATTTACACGACGTTTCGAACCTATATGGTTCATTCTCAAGTGATAAGAATTCAAGGCGCGTTCAATTTATACCAGTAAGGGGTCAGGTGAAGGCAAGTAGAACTATATAAATGGGAGAAGAATAAGGGAAAAGGTAAGGCATAAAAGAAAAAGGGGTAAATAAGGGACGAAGTACATTCAAAGATTAATCAGGTGTAGTTGGGTCTAGTATGTTGAGTAGTGTCTTCTATGCAGCCATGGGTTCCCCCTTTAGGAGTGTTATTCGCTAATTTTTAAATGGGAACTTTCGAAGAAAGAGTCTTTAGCAGTAAACAAGAACCAATGGTATACTGCCGTTACGTAGATGACATATTCGTCATAGTAAAAGACCCAGATGAACTAACTGATCTAAAAATCCATCTAGAGAGAGAGAGAGAGTCAGTACTCCGTTTTACCCATGCAAATAGTGAAAATAACTATCTGCCATTCCTGGATGTACTAATAACAAAAACAGGAGCCTTTCTAAGCAACAGTGTATATACTAAGCCTACAAACATAGGATTATGCCTTAACGGTAAGAGTGCCCCCAAAGATACAAAGCCAGTGTTCTCAATGCTTATATTCGTCGAGCTCTTACCCACTGCTCTGAATGGAGCAACGTGAGGAGGGAGTTGGAAAGAATACCCCAGGTGTTGGTGAACAATGGATATAGCAACACGGAAATAAACACTATAATAAGACGACACCTGGATCGATGGTACAATCCTGAACCAAGAACAGGAACTACAACTCCTCCAATAAAATTATATTATAAATCCACCACACATAATGAACACAAAAAAGAAGAACGAATATTGAAAGAAATAATCCGTATAGGAGTAAAAATCCTAACTCCTAACTAAAACATAGACCTGATCATATTTCTATAAAACAAAGAAGACTACCGACTTATTAAAAACAGCCCGAAGCCGACGCAGAACCCTCTACAGCAGTCAAGCGTTGTATACATGTACACTTGCCACCACGAAGGATGTAACCTTCAATCTACGTACATAGGTATGACGTCGACCAAGCTGACGAGGCGTTTGACATGTCATCTTTAATCCAGTGCCCTCAAAAAATCACATTAGACAAGCCCGTGACATCACCCTAACAAGAGAAATGTTGAATAAAAACACTTGCATAATAGACAAAACCCAAGATGTAAGAAGACTACAAATTCTTGAAGCAATCCATATAAAAATAGAACAGCCTACCATAAATACCCAAATTACGGAACTATTCACTCTACCCACCATGAGAGTAAGGACAAGACCGGAACATGAAGATGCCAACATAGAAGACACTGCTCAACATACTAGGCCTACAACACCTGATTAATCTTTGAATGTGCCCCATCCCCTATTTTCGCCTTTTTCTTTTACGCCTTACCTTTTCCTTTATTCTTGTCCCATTTGTATAGTTCTACTTGCCTTCACCTGGCCCCCTTACTGGTATAAATCTAACGCGACTTTGGCTCTTACGCCACAGAGCCAAAGTAGCGGAAGGAAGATCCACTGCGATATGGTACGAACAAGCCACTGGGTGCTACTCTTTCAAGCCTGACAAAAAGATATCCAGAGACATTGCAGTAGCCATACACAGACTCAGACTTGGTTACAAGTGCTGCTGGGAGGTAATAAACCCAATAGTTAAAGAGTGTCATATGTGTGGAACAGAAGCAGAGGCGCCACTATTGCACTACTTATTTTTAGCTACTGAAGCCCTGTGCACCAAACTCTTTAGATATATACAAGAGTTGTTACATTCTTGTACAGCCACTAGTACGCGTAGCGTTCCTGGCAGGTCCCTGGAATACGATCCCCGCCGCGAAGAAACGTTGTTATAACCAAGTACACATTTTACTGTTGCGTTAAACAGAGGCTACAGTTAAGGATTTGCGCCCAGTAAATCCTCCCCGGCCAGGATACGAACCCATGACAAAGCACTCACGGAACGCCAGGCGAGTGTCTTACCACTGCACCACGGAGACTGCAATTAACTCAACATTAATTCAACGACAGCAGCTGCGTTAGATGCACATTCCACAGCGACTACAATGATTAGAAAAGCCGTTGAGGAATGGGACTCACTAGTGAGCATTCTGCAGCAACATCCGCCACCAAGATAATGTTATTAAAACAAAACTAAAACCAGTGCACTAAAACAGAAGCGAAAAAGGAGGAATCCCCACCTCCATTTAAAACTTTGACCCAAATATCACAGTAACAAGGTTATCGCGAATAACCGAACTCAATTACGGGCTCACCATAGCCCGTGCTACTTGGAACTTTTTGTTCCAAGTAGCGAATCTAAAACAACAACATATTTTCTTATCACTTGAGAATGAACCATGTAGGTTCGAAACATTGTGTAAATTTTATAATAAGTGTAAGAGAGAACACTATAAATTGACCGTTTTCTTGACGTTGGGAATTTTAGGATAACGGGCTGCTTGACGATGGTAGAATGTCCCTGGTGTGAGCAGGCCATTAACAGGTGGTTGAGATTGTTTAATATGTATAGTGCTCTACCAATGTCTAATCACCTGTTCTCATCAATTACTTCCGGGTTGTTGGCTATAGGGGAATCTCAGGTGATGATCTGATTGTGTGTAATAATCATATATATGTGTGTGGAGAGGGGGAGACCTGCTGCATGGGTAACAGCTTCTCCCCCGTATCAACCTACCCAGGCTTTGCGCACTGGAGAGGCCACTCCAGACCGACAACCAGAGCGCAGCTTCACAGTCTCCTGTGACTGATGGATGCCTAATACAACGTGTTCTTTGATGGAGGCTCGTTGTTTGTGTCTCGTGTCGTGTTCTTCATGAACAAACTGGCGGTCCTCCTGCTCTTGTAGTAGACTCTCAACTCTCTCTTCTGATTGGTGCAGCTCGTTATAGGTCACCTTTCTCTCAGCGAAAGGTTTCAAGACTCTTTTTCCTCCGTTTTGCGTGCCGGGGAAAGAAGTTTTGCCCTGTACGATGGTTTTATAGATGAGGCAAATGTTGTAGTGTTGGTCGTTGTACCCGGGGGGGGGAAGTGGCGGGCAGGGACGCCTCATCTTCCTTGTGAAGAGATCTTTGACGTGTCAGCTATTGAAGCCATTGCTGACAAGGACTCCTGCCTTGCTAATTTGGGTTACTTGTCGACCTCCTTCCAAGTGGAGTTGCCTTTGCTTCAGATTGTACTGGAGCTTCCTTCTCTTCAGACAGCATAAGATCTGCCTATGGTCTTACTGCTGCTCTAATAAGACTAATAATATGTCTAACATCCGTGTGAGTTCTCTCCGTCTCTGTGTTATGGTATACTCTCCCATATACTGAACATGTTCACTTCATCAACCATATCAGTTTCCCCCTGAAACTCTTGCATGTCGTTACCATGTCTCCTTGATTCCGTTCCTCTTCAAGTGTGGGTGAAGATCACCTTCGTTTGTTTTCCTTTTTTGTTTTAATCATCGTAGTAGTGCCATGAGTTTCTAATTGAGTTTTATGTTAGGTTCAAGTAGGGACATCACACACAGAGATCACACTAACGTGATGCATCAAATGAACAAATCCACAAGGGCCGTGACGAGGATTCGAACCTGCGTCCGGGAGCATCCCAGACACTGCCTTAATCGACTGAGCTACGACAGGGTTAAAAGGGTTGAAACTGAAGTTCTACTGAACTTACTGGATCCCGTAAGGTTCTTACTGGATCCTGTAAGAGGCTACGGGATCCAGTAAGTTCAGTAGAACTTCGGTTTCAACCCTTTTAACCCTGTCGTAGCTCAGTCGATTAAGGCAGTGTCTGGGATGCTCCCGGACGCAGGTTCGAATCCTCGTCACGGCCCTTGTGGATTTGTTCAAGTAGGGAGTCACAAAGTTTGTAAGGAACTGCCTGGCTGGTTTAATTTCTAACAAAATTATTTAAAATTTCTAACGAAATTAAACCCTTGTTTGTACATCCCTTTACACCCTGGAAAAGAAAGCTGGAGGGATGTGACTCACTGACGTTGGTAGCGCCCCTTGCTGACTCGTTGGTAGCGCCCCTTGCTGACTCGTTGGTAGCGCCCCTTCGTTGGTAGCGCCCCTTGCTGACTCGTTGGTAGCGCCCCTTGCTGACTCGTTGGTAGCGCCCCTTGCTGACTCGTTGGTAGCGCCCCTTGCTGACTCGTTGGTAGCGCCCCTTGCTGACTCGTTGGTAGCGCCCCTTGCTGACTCGTTGGTAGCGCCCCTTGCTGACTCGTTGGTAGCGCCCCTTGCTGACTCGTTGGTAGCGCCCCTTGCTGACTCGTTGGTAGCGCCCCTTGCTGACTCGTTGGTAGCGCCCCTTGCTGACTCGTTGGTAGCGCCCCTTGCTGACTCGTTGGTAGCGCCCCTTGCTGACTCGTTGGTAGCGCCCCTTGCTGACTCGTTGGTAGCGCCCCTTGCTGACTCGTTGGTAGCGCCCCTTGCTGACTCGTTGGTAGCGCCCCTTGCTGACTCGTTGGTAGCGCCCCTTGCTGACTCGTTGGTAGCGCCCCTTGCTGACTCGTTGGTAGCGCCCCTTGCTGACTCGTTGGTAGCGCCCCTTGCTGACTCGTTGGTAGCGCCCCTTGCTGACTCGTTGGTAGCGCCCCTTGCTGACTCGTTGGTAGCGCCCCTTGCTGACTCGTTGGTAGCGCCCCTTGCTGACTCGTTGGTAGCGCCCCTTGCTGACTCGTTGGTAGCGCCCCTTGCTGACTCGTTGGTAGCGCCCCTTGCTGACTCGTTGGTAGCGCCCTTGCTGACTCGTTGGTAGCGCCTCTTGCTGACTCGTCGGTAGCGCCCCTTGCTGACTCGTCGGTAGCGCCCCTTGCTGACTCGTCGGTAGCGCCCCTTGCTGACTCGTCGGTAGCGCCCCTTGCTGACTCGTTGGTAGCGCCCCTTGCTGACTCGTTGGTAGCGCCCCTTGCTGACTCGTTGGTAGCGCCCCTTGCTGACTCGTTGGTAGCGCCCCTTGCTGACTCGTTGGTAGCGCCCCTTGCTGACTCGTTGGTAGCGCCCCTTGCTGACTCGTCGGTAGCGCCCCTTGCTGACTCGTCGGTAGCGCCCCTTGCTGACTCGTTGGTAGCGCCCCTTGCTGACTCGTTGGTAGCGCCCCTTGCTGACTCGTTGGTAGCGCCCCTTGCTGACTCGTTGGTAGCGCCCCTTGCTGACTCGTTGGTAGCGCCCCTTGCTGACTCGTTGCAAAGTCAGCTGCGTGAAGCGTCCACCTGAAAGCAACCACTACGCTCCATCCCAACCAGCTGCTCCGGTTTGGGTCCTCAAGGGCAGTTAAAAAGCAGTTCCTTGTGACACGATCCTCCATCCATTCTCTCCCATAAGAGAAGGTAGTAGTAAAATTAAGACTTCTAAAAATGCTTTCAACTCGGTTCAATTACTCAGAGCAGTTGCAGAACAGAACCCAAGTATTCTCCTCTGTCTCAGTTGAAAACAGCAGAATCGACGCTTCTGTTGGCCGAGGACGAAGTCAACTCAGCACAAGGAATTCAATAGGGAAACAACCCCCACCCCGCCTTCCTCGCACCTCTCCTCTTCAGCATAGCGGATGGTGAAGTCACAAGCGGAATATCCTCCGAAGTCAACATATGGCTCCTGGATGACAACATTCTGGCAGGCACACAAGACTCCCATCTGTAAGACACGCAGCGGTGAAGTCACTGGGTCTCGTCCTTAAATCCCTCCAAGTGCGAAATAGTTTCTTCCACCCACTAAGTCATTAGTGCAGAGAGATCAATTCTAATTTAAGTCTCAGTGACTGAACCCAATGGCAACACACTACTCGGAGCACCTTTGTGTTGCAACGCCACTGCTGCAATCTTAGAGGGAACATTGCCTTGAGGGAAGAACTAGACTAGAGGAGAGGAGATAGACTAAGGGACCCCGAAGGCCCACACGCTATCCTATACTTCTAAAAAACACGCCGAACCTTACCAAGGCTAACCGTCCTTCCTAATAAGGTCCCTACCCACTTTAGTCAGCCCACTACTAAGTCAACACGACCAGCTCCTGAAGTCAACCTTCGGGAAGGCACTCAACCAAGCCTTAGATGAGAGCCGGGGGTCGTCCAGCGAGCAACACGACCCGTCGTCCAGCCAGTAGAAGAACACGGGGGCCTAAACGACAAGCCATCAGACCAAACACACACACACACACACACACACACACACACACACACACACACACACACACACACACACACACACTACGCCAGAGACTCAGCAGGAATTGAACGATCCTTAGGTCATCGAAAGGGCCAGCCAGGGAACCCTTTCTAGGGGGTCCATAACTATTCCACGCTCCCATCGGCCCCCAAAAGATCAGGCACACTGGGACAATGTCCCTTAATGGGGACTTATTGTCCCCACCTATTGCCCCTATTGCCCTAATGGGGGGGGGGGGAAATTGCCCCTCGTGAATTCTCGAAAATACATCTGAGATACATTTCACTCCCAAGAGTGACACACTCAGCCCAAGTCTTGCGGGTATCGTTAGGGTGACCCACGGTATGAGACCAGTCCTGGGATAGCTTGTTAGGGCGAGACAAGTCCTGGGATAGCTTTCTAGGGTGAGGCAAGTCCTGGGATAGCTTGCTAGGGTGAGACAAATCCTGGAATGGCAGCTAGGGTGAGGCAAGTCCATAGAATGGCAGCTAGGGTGAGGCAAGTCCGTAGAATGGAAGCTTGGGTGAGGCAAGTCCTTAGAATGGCAGCTAGGGTGAGGCCAACCCTTAGAATGGCTTGCTAGGGTGAGGCCAGCCCTTAGAATGGCTTGCTAGGGTGAGGCTAACCCTTAGAATGACTTGCTAGGGTGAGGCCAGCCCTTAGAATGGCTTGCTAGGGTGAGGCAAGTCCTGGGATTGTAGCTAGGGTGAGGCCAGCCCTTAGAATGGCAGCTAGGGTGAGGCCAGCCCTTAGAATGGCAACTAGGGTGAGGCCAGCCCTTAGAATGACTTGCTAGGGTGAGGCCAGCCCTTAGAATGGCAACTAGGGTGAGGCCAGCCCTTAGAATGACTTGCTAGGGTGAGGCCAGCCCTTAGAATGACTTGCTAGAATGTCACACACAAGGACAAAACAGCCACAGAACCTCCCGCAACAGTCGTACATCATTTTAATAAGACTAACATCGTTGGGAAATTATTCCCAGGCCAAAAAAAAGACAAAACAAAAAATAATGACCACATTCTTTTGTCGATATCAAGTAAAGTGGCGTGAAATTGGCAGCTGTGTGGCCTCTCCAGCTGTCCGTCACCCAGTCACTTGTGTCCGCTAATTCCTTTACTAGGAGTTATTATTCTGATTGGTTCCCTACTAGAATCGCATTATACACTCTCTCTAGAACCTAAAACACCTAATAATAGGGATGGAAAATGCTTTGACTCGCCGCATAAGCCTGGGGAAATAGGGAATACAACTCCCGGATATTTCATAAATTGGCAACATGATGTCCACACGTCAATAGTGACACGTGATTGGCCAGTAGAAATGTTGACTTATTATCTCATTGGTTGAGCGTCCCGCCTTCAGTGTCCCGCACGCAGGGCTGGGGGGAGGTACACGTTTGTTTCTTTATTTTCCACAGTGAAGCCCACGATTGGCCCATGTATTGCGTTAATGGTCAAACAAGTAAAAATAACACTGGTCTTTCCTTCTGACTTTTTATAGTGATATGAATACTCTAAGACTGGTCTCACAGTCTTAGAGTATGTATACTCTAAGACTGGTCTCACAGTCTTAGAGTATGTATACTCTAAGACTGGTCTCACAGTCTTAGAGTATGTATACTCTAAGACTGGTCTCACAGTCTTAGAGTATGTATACTCTAAGACTGGTCTCACAGTCTTAGAGTATGCATGAACACTTAGGAGTGTACAGTGGTTTGTATGCCTTTATATTTGTGTTCCTGAAGGATAGTCTGATTTTCCTATTGTCGAGTATTATCTCACGCCTAATGAGAGAGAGAGAGAGAGAGAGAGAGAGAGAGAGAGAGAGAGAGAGAGAGAGAGAGAGAGAGAGAGAGAGAGAGAGAGAGAGAGAGAGAGAGAGAGAGAGAGAGAGAGAGAGAGCCCTGAACCAAGGTCAGAAATGATCTTCTGCTAACCTGAGCGATTTGAAATTGTAATCAGCCCATGTTTTCTACAGTAGCACGCACGCACACGCACGCACGCGCGCCCCTTCCCTATCCGCTCCCCCCACACACACCCACGGAACCCTCTCCTCCACACCCCACCAACACACACACACGAACGCACAGGGAGCACGAGAGAGGCAGAGAGAACACCGATGGAGTCCTGCGAGCCGATTCACATGTCAGGGAGAACACTTCATGACCAATGTTGTCAAATGCAAAAATGCCCCTTTTTTCAGCACATTGCACAAGGAATAACACTCTTCAGAGGTATTTCATATAATATACGTGAGACCAGTGTTGAAGCTTGCAGCACCAGCACGCATCTCGCTCGGAAATAGGACATCATCATCATCATCATCATCATCATCATCATCATCATCATCATCAACTCATGCACATAAACTTTGAAACGTAAGAGCAACATTTGGGAATCAGTGGAAATAGGCATCAATGGTCATCACGTATGTAATTCCCCCCCCCCCCCCCCCCCACCTCATTCTGGAGTATGTCGAACCAGCGTGGAACTCCACGCTGGTTATATATTTATATTTATATATAAATATCTGGCTATATAAAGCATTGATGCCATCACAAGCACAAATAATGGCTTCGCTCCATATTATTCCCAAGTTTTTATTTCAAGCTTCCGGTTAATATTGGCAATAATGAGGACTGTCACTCCGGCGGACCCTGCAACTTGTCAGTCATTAACCAGCAGTACTGACAGGCTTATTAAGGAGCACTGAGGAATGACATTGACCGCAGAGGATGATGGTGACGGGGTGATGGTGGTGGTGGTGGCAGGAAGTGATGGTGTGGGGGGAGGTTGCTCTCCGGTGGGGGATGTTATGGTGTCCTCGATAGTGTTGATCTGATTGTATTTACCGGGAGCGAGATCTTGCTCTAGAGACCCCTCCGATATCATGACCGGACCACACACTAGAAGGTGAAGGGACGACGACGTTTCGGTCCGTCCTGGACCATTCTTAAGTCGATCGTCCGGCTCAAGTGTGTGTCAATCGACTTGAGAATGGTGGTCCAGGACGGACCGAAACGTCGTCGTCCCTTCACCTTCTAGTGTGTGGTCTGGGTCATCATACTTTAGCCACGATATTGTGACTCATCGCCTGCACCTCCGATATTAACCCGTCCATCAACCAATGAGCTGCGTTATGGACGTTACGATAACCAACGTTACAAATGCGATTTGTTACTGAATGTTCTCACAAATATCCACGTTTTTTTCTTGTGTATCGGAGTGATAGGTTAGGTGGGTTGCTTGGGTTTGTACATTTCTGGTTAGGGTAGGTTAGGTTAGGAGGTTGGATTTTACGAGCAGTGGCGCTCGTCTCGCACTTAGTGAGCCCTTTGGTCTGGGTTCGTATCCTGGCCAGGGAGGATTGAGTAGGAGCCAATCCTTATCTGACTTTGTTCACCCAGCGGTAACTAACTACCTGGATGCTAAACGATTGGCGGGTCGTATTGCAGGGAAATTAGTAGGCCAGACTTACCATGAGTAATGGGAAGGGAAAAACTCTCAACCTGCTAACAGGGTTCAGAGGTCGTCTATTCCTGTAACAACCTTTGTAAACAAAAAAAAAATGAGAAGCTGTCATACTTGTTCTTGAAGCTGTTCTTGAAACATTACACTCGAAGCTGGGAATGAAGCGGACTCATAGAAGTCATTTTGTTCAATTATGTCTGAGCATGTTAAGGTTACAGCTATGAAGACTGGCTAGAGACCATACTTGCAATATCCTGTTAGGACGTTTCTGCGAATTCTTGATGTGTGTGTGTGTGTGTGTGTGTGTGTGTGTGTGTGTGTGTGTGTGTGTGTGTGTGTGTGTGTGTGTGTGTACTCACCTAGTTGTGCTTGCGGGGGTTGAGCTCTGGCTCTTTGGTCCCGCCTCTCAACTGTCAATCAACAGGTGTACAGGTTCCTGAGCCTATTGGGCTCTATCATATCTACACTTGAAACTGTGTATGGAGTCAGCCTCCACCACATCACTTCCTAATGCATTCCATTTATCAACCACTCTGACACTAAAAAAAGTTCTTTCTAATATCTCTGTGGCTCATTTGGGCACTCAGTTTCCACCTGTGTCCCCTAGTGCGTGTGCCCCTTGTGTTAAACAGCCTGTCTTTATCAACCAGATAAAGTGTGTGTGTGTGTGTGTGTGGGTGTGTGTGTGTGTGTGGGTGTGTGTGTGTGTGTGTGTGTGTGTGTATACTCACCTAGTTGTACTCACCCCCCTACTTGTGCTTGTTGGGGTTGAGCTTTGGCTCTTTGGTCCCGCCTCTAATCTGTCAATCAACTGGTGTTTAGATTCTTGAGCTTATTGGGCACTATCAAAACTACATTTGAAACTGTGTATGGAGTCAGCCTCCACCATATCACTGCCTAATGCAGTCCATTTGTTAACTACTCAACTGTATGTGTGTGGGGGGGGGGTTCTATTTTGCTTTCCCGACTGCAATGCGTACGTCGCCAATGTACATGTGGC